TGAGAGCGAAGTGTTCTGTTAGGATGATAAGGCTCTATGAGGTCTTTAAGATACGATGGAGCCTTGTCATTAAGGGCTTTGTATGTTAGGAGAAGGATTTTAAATTCTATTCTGAATTTTACAGGGAGCCAGTGGAGAGAAGCTAATATGGGAGAGATATGATCTCTCTTGCTAGTTCCTGTCAGTACTCTGGCTGCAGCATTTTGGATTAACTGGAGGCTTTTTAGGGAATTATTGGGACATCCTGATAGTAAAGAGTTACAGTAGTACAGCCTGGAAGTAACAAATGCATGGACCAGTTTTTCAGCATCACTTTGAAACAGGATGCTCCTGATTTTTGCAATATTTCGCAGGTGAAAGAAGGCAGTTCTAGAGACTTGGTTTATGTGTGATTTAAAGGACATATTCTGATCAAAGATGACTCCAAGGTTCCTCACAGTAGTACTGGAGGCAAGAGCTATGTCATCTAAAGTAACTATATGATTAGACAGCAGATTTCTAAGGTTTTCAGGCCCAAGCACAATAACTTCATTTTTGTCTACTACTACTACTACTTCTACTACTACTACTACTACTACTTCTTCCTCTTCTACTTCTTCTTCTATAGACGGCCCTGGGCATATTACTGCCCCCGCAGGTAGATAATGGTGGTTAGTTCTCATGTTTTTAACTAAAATCTGATCATTTTCTGTAAGAATTTACTGCTATAATGATCCAGAACTGATGCACGTTCACGTATTGGTTGACAACTGTGTGGTCCCACCCCTGGCGTTGTTCTTCTTTGATTGAAAGCAGTCCTTTTTGCAATACGATATGTTTTGGGGAATGTGTCTACACAATGAAAAGAAGTTAACATACTGAAGATTTAAATAAAGTTATGAAAAACGCTGCATTAAATCCAGCACCATGGACAGAAATTATATTCTGCAGCTTGAACAGCAGAGGGCAGTAATACATCAGGTCACATAGATGATGTTTACAACAGCAGCATGATTCACAGCACTGCTATGACCTTGGCCACAAAAATCTCATTAACTTGATTTGGGGAATGTAATAGCAGGGTGTTCAGCTATTAATACCCACATGTTACTGTTTATATGCAAAATGTGCACTGCTTTTGTTCATGTGGCACACTTCATTACTTCTTGATTCTGTCCTTGAATTACAGCTCCAGTGCCAAACATCACACCAGTTTACTTCAGTTTCTATCCTTTGTGCTGCTGAGCCAGTCTTGTAATATGTAACAAAGTCTGAAAGCTCTTCCTGGCTCAGTCAATAATTCTTTCTCCTTCCCCATACCTCATTCAAGCCTTCTTTTCTCTCCTTCACCTCCCCTTTGCTTCTTTTTTAGGCTACTCAGCTCTTTCTCTGTACTGCTGTAGAGGTCTGTCTCCTTGATCTGCAGGGAGGCAGTGCCACTGTCTACGTGAACCAAGGATTTCACATAAACCAGAAACCATATTTCACTGCCATGCTCTCTTTCAGGACCTATATACTGTAGATGTAAAAAAAAAGAAAACATTGTATTTTTTAACATTTAATAGCTACAGGCAGTTAATTAACTTGCAGAAATATTCAGCCCACTTGGTCAAACATTGAATTTTCTCAAAATTAATCTGTCCCAAAATAATATAAATTTTTTTTGGATACATTGTTAAAACAATTATGGTGGCATTTAAGCCAGACATAATTCATTTTTTCCAGCTGTTTTGAATGCATACAAGAATAATGATTACTGGAATGAAGGAAGAGGTTATTCGTTAGGAATTTGCTCCTACAGTTAAATGGCACTCAGAAAAAGCATATAATATACTTTTATACTAATATAATATGCTCACAATCTTGTGTAAAGGTGCTGTGTATACAAATGCACATGTGGCTGTTTTTAACAACAATGTTTATTATTGCAAATGTAATCAAAACAACAGTAGTTACAGAAATTACAGACAGCTATGATACTGTGTGATTTTGAGTCTTATTGTGTGCTATGACTTATCAAGATAAAATCAGAGAAAAACAAGAAAAGTCCAGTTCTTGTCTCTTTATACTGAGCTCTGGCAGTCGTCACTACAATTGTAATAGCTGTAGTAACTTCATTCAATCCAACTAACAAGTCAGAGGATAAAGAGCAGCAGGAACCTCAACAACACCATTATGCTGCTGCTTCTCATGATCTAAAATAACGCCAGCGTGTTAACAAAATGGGAGTGAAAGTAATTAGTCCAGTGAAGCAAGTGAAGACTCTGCTGCCACACCAGCTACTGTTTTTATCATTCAAGTGTTGGATTTCGTAGATGTATTTAACACAAACTAATCCAAAAATCAGCCACTTTCTTTGACTGCATTTTGACAGTGGTTATACAAACACTTGCAGTTTCAGGTGGCAGTGTATAGCTACAACAAGCAGACATTCCAAGCACTTGCAACAGTAATTTCTCCACAGGGATCAATCTAACTATTAAAAAAAATCTGTAGGCATGGAGAGGCCCCTGTTCGCACCACTCTTGAGTTACTGTTGTGGAAAAAGTTAAGAGGGGTCATAAAAGAGGGTTTTAAAAGCAGGGGTTTGTACTCCGTGGTTGACACCAATGAAACCACATCAGCATTCAGCAGTCTACTGCTGAGGGGTATGTGTAAAAGACTGAAACAGCCAGTGAGTCCTTAATTTGGTATTTGTACATGGTGACTGGCATGGTGTTAATGAAATTAGATCCATGGCTGCATTGCACTGACAGTCACAAGAACAATTAACGACCACTGTTTTCAATTTCCTGATTTTCAGTTAAACCACAAGCACTAACCTGTGTGTTCTGTATGGTGGTAGGGTGAGGTGTTGGGGGCTGTGGGGGAGGCTGAGGTGAATACATTAAAATATAGCTCACTCAGACATTGATGAGTCTTTGGTTTCAATGTAATGGTGACTGAGGTGTGACAAAAAAAATAAATAAAAAATCCAGGTCATTTTTATGCAGAGTCAAATTGAACAGGTGCAATATTGCACGTTTTATTTTTCAGTAAATTTCCCAGATGTTGATGGTGTCTCTAAAATGCATCTACAGTCATTGGTGTAAAACATGTTTTTTTTGTCTTGAAATAATATTGGACAGAAGAAATGAGTGTTTGAATTTGTTGCTTGTGTGCTAATCTTGACAGTAATGATTAAAACGGTATTCATATTTAAGTAAGAAAAAAAGTAGAGATAAAAGGTCACTATAAAAAATAAAAAAGGATTTTTTTTTCAATATTATACTGCTATATTGCAAATGTTTGCCATGAGTTACCTGAATCTGCAAATGTTTTGGCCGGCCACAGTATATATATATATATATATATTTATGTTACCATGGATAAGCCTATCATAACTGCTAAACAGTGACATAGAACTGGTTATGCTGGTAACATACTGGAAAAGGAAACCACTCTAACATCAAGAAAAAGTCCTCCCAGACCAGTGTGTCTTCTGGCTCACACAAACTGTATCCATGTACCTTTGATTCAAATCAATAACAATCAACTGTGCAAAGCCAGTTCAACCATGTTCACCCAGAAAGCTGGTAGATATCCCAGCACCCTTGTAACCTGCTTTCTTTTGCATTCACAGACACATTCACATGCACAGGAATGACTTAGAAAATACATTCACACTCACAAGCGCCTGTCTTGTAATTTTGCCTTAGTACCACATGTCAAAGGAGAAAAAAAATGTCCATGGAGAAAAACAATGTGCAAACTCTAGCCAGGGACAAAATGGCACGGCAGTAACAAAAAGCAAAAAATGATAAACAAATAAAATCACATAAGGACTCAATCAATGAACCAATCAATGTTTACAGAAGAACCATGTGCCCAGCTCAAATCTTCATTTTCAGAAAATGAAGCCAGCCACAAACTAATTCAACACCAATGTTGAATGTTCAGATCTGCACTCTGTGATCAATCGCAGTGACAGTTCACCTCACATCATATCACACGGTTGGAGCCTCTCTGTGCAGAGCGGGCTGTGGAAAAATCAATTAAGCCTGCTATGGTATTAAAAAGCCACACCAACGGTCTATACAGATGCAGCGGCTATAAAAAGTATTCACCCCCTTGGATGTTTTACCCTTTTATTGATTTTATAAATCAATCATAATCAATATAATTTGGCTTTTTTTGACAAACTCTTTTTTGGCGAACTCTAGTCAAGAGTTAATATGTGTTCTCTACAATCACTTGAGACACATTCACTGTACTCTGGTGATCCCCATTTCACTAACTGTGAGACCACTAGCACTAGGCTGGACCTCTGTTGAATTAGCTCAGTCATTTTAAAGGGGGTGAATGTTTATGCAATCACTTATTTCCCATTATATATATACTTATTTAATTGACATTACTTTGTACAAACCTGTTTTCATGTTGACTATTTTTATTCCTACTTATCCCATTTCACAATGAGCATTCCTTTGTCTGTCTGCATTGTTTACTGCCTGTCTATACTGCTTATTTTGCATTGTTTGCACCGTTTGTTGCTTGTTGATACTGCTCATTTGTTATATTACACAGCCTTACGGGATATGTACATACACATTGAGAGCCGATGTACCAGAGTCAAATTCCTCGTGTGTCCGACATACCTGGCCAATAAAGCAGATTCTGATTCGAACATTAAAGAGTTTTTTTGTAATTTTTTTTTTGCCAAAAAAGCCAAATTATATTGGCCACGATTGATTTATGAAATCAATAAAAAGGGTAAAATATCCAAGGGTGTGAATACTTTTCATAGGCACTGTAAATATGCCAACCTCTGTGAAAAGAACATACTGAAAGAAAAAGGAAAGAACCTGATGGATATACAAAGGCCTATACTGTGTAACCCCACCAACAATAAAGTGGAAATCTGTATTCACATACTCTGTATTGTTTCTGAAAATATATATTGTATCATTCACCCTGCTTTCCCCTCAGACACACCAGTGGCAGTCCAGGCAGTCAGGCTGTACAGTCCCTCCAGGGCAACATGGTAGCAGCCATACAAACTTAACCAACGCTGTTCTGTCTCCATCCCCAGTAGAGCAGGTCCTTGCCAACAGGAGCTGAACAGCAGGTTAGTCTGGGATCAGTGATCAGGGTTTTCTCCCTTCCTCATATTGTCGGCTGCTGTATCCAGTCTCATCTAGCACTCGTTTGGCCAGACTGCAAATCCTGGAGGTTCTCGTTGAGAAGTCTCTGTGGAGCAGGAGAGAGGAGGGGTGACACAGGAGGGGGGCTGCAGGGAGGTGGACGCCCCCTCCTCCCTCAGCACTGCTCAGACTCGATGAAGCCCTCCTTCTCCTGGCCCACTGGCTCCACCTCCGCATAGGCTGGGTGACCCGATCCCCGGCGAAACTTCATAGCTGGCCACCTGCTTGGGCGTCTCTGCGAAGGTGGAGGAGTGTGTCATCAAGATTAAAGGTTAGTGCACTTTTCCATTACAATCCCAAGTCTCTGATGTGATCATTTTTCACTCCTTGCTTGACTGTGACTGTTAATGACCTTGACATTGAGAACAACTTTAAATATTACAAGTTAGTTTTTAAAAGATGTTAAGCACCACTCTGCACTACACTCCAAACAGCACCTACCCATCCTCAGGGAATTTACATTCCTTTATTAAGAAAGACTGTGTGCACCAGGTTTCATCATCCCCTCTGAAAATCATCATGCATATTCATGAGTCAGGGATTGAGAAATAAAATTCACTGAGCTCTGTCCAGGGTTGGCTCTCTGTACAGAAAATGTGTTTTTATAAAGAAGGTCAAACATTTTGTAGCAGGCATCTCTTGTTCCTGTTACAAGAAGAAGGAATTCAACCAAAACAACCTTCTCCTGAAATAACATCCCTATGGAATCAGGTGTACTGGACGTTGTCACCCATGTAAGCCATTGTGTCCCTGCTCACCTCAATGAGGAAAATGCTGGCAGCAGAAGTGGGGTGATGGTAGATGTAGATGGTGAGTAGCACACCAGCAACCATGATGAGCATCACTAGGAGAATACCAAGGATCAGACCAGTGTGCAGAGGGTGTGAACCTGGCATCCTGCCTACACTGCTGTCAGCTGGCATCAGTTAAAAACAGAACAAAAAACAGCCTGTTACAGCCTTTTACAGAAAAACACCAACAGTTACAAAAATGTTTTAAATGTATAGAAAGTTAAAGCAGTGCTAGGGTTGGTTGTATGATTATGACTTTACTATCCATGCTGAAAAACCCTAGGATATTTGGGATTTAAAAATCCAGCAAAAGTGATGCTTTTCTACTTTCCCTGCAGTTCCCATGTTGACCAGCAGGGGACACTCATCATCCACCAGTGCCCTCCTTTCTTACATGTATCACTCTGCCTTAAAATTGTGACCATATAGAAAAAAAGACAATTGATGTCAAAACGTAAACAGTGACACTGGTACTGTAAATCTCATTAAGCAATATATGTTTGAGAATAGTTAATAGGCTTTTATGTCTCAGAGAAGGTGACTGAGGGGACATTTATTTCACTTTGAGATCATACTCTAGGTCCACCTTAAGCACTCTGTTTTGTTTAGGTATTCATGAGCGGTTCTCCTCTCCCAAGAGTAAGAGTAAATCCCACGCAAGGTGAACAGTGTACAGTCCTAAAGGAGGCGGAGGACTTTTAGGCACTGATAAAGTTCTGTTGCAGCCTGCACTTGTGGTACTATAAAAACTGAAGAGGCAATATGTAATGACGACATAATAAGTATGTCCTTCACTGCCCCTCGGAAGTCCTCATTTGTCTTTATAGCACTTTCTCGGATTCATGTTGGAGCCTCAAGCTTTTGAAGATGACACGAGCATCCTGTAACCTGTGGGTAATCTCTGTTTTCACCTACGGAGGCACAGTGTCCAAACAGAGGAAACAAGAATTTTCACCTGAAATTTGTAAGATGGAAGATACAAAGTGTTAGATTGTTTCAGCAGAGAAACTCATAGGGGAGAATTAAAAAGTGATAAAAACAAACAAACAAACAAACACTAATGGTTTTACCCACATGGTGTATTTAGATTAACAGCAGGTTCAGATTTCTTCTCTTATGCCCACCTGACAAGCTCTCCCCAGGACCCTCTCTGGCTTTAATTAGCAGCTATAGCCACCATTGAGCTTGTCAGACGATCAGCCTCTCTCCTCGCTCCCTGCCTCATTGATTTTCAGCACTCAGAATAACCAGGTGGTAATCAAACCTGTACAATGTGTGTGGGCAGTCACTGTGAAAGTGAGGTTCTGTAAGTCAGTATAGCTGAAATGTGGTGTGCAAAACTGAATTTTAAAAGAGACAAAATGTGGATAATCTGTTGTGCCTAAGCATCATTTGTCTTCTTACCAAAACAACTGATTATGTCCGTTGCCCATAATCCAACTGGAAATACAAACAGAAAGAAAACAGAAAGAGAAAAACAACAGCCAAAAAAAAAATTACACTATGACACTATTATGCTCAATCACAGTGAGTCTAAGGGTGTTTTGTTTTTCTGTTTTCTGAAAAAAAAAGCATTTTCCTGTGTGAGTCATCCCTTGGTATGCTGGAAGCCCAGATGATGTGACAGGCTGTTAGTCTGGGCTGTTAGTAGGTTAGCAGGGGCCATGCAACTGAGCAAAGGTGTAGACAATGAGAAATCAACAGGCTAGCAGCTGAATAACAGCCTGATAGTTTCATCTGCACTCCTCTCAGTGGTACACTTAAACCAGAGCGTCCTACCTGACTGCCAAGTTACTCTCTGGCTGCTCTTTGCAGTTTGTTGCAACCGGGTATCTGTAGTTTACCTTGTCGCTAGGAAACAGGATGTGATGGGAGGTAAAAAGAGCTGTTAGGAGAGGCTTATGGGGCCGTTCACATATTGTCTTTTGTGCACTCAGATTCATTATTTTAAATGGAGACACACGACAGGCACAATTATGCACTGCAACGCGCCAGTTTTTCCATGCGCGTCTATGCCACAGCAAGATAAAAAAAAATCTCAATTTTTCAGAATGCAGCAAGCGCATCGCAGGTCACGGGACAAGAACCAACCAATCAGTTTTACCTTTTCTGTAACAACACCTGGTTCAAAGCTCAGCCAAGATGGAGGCCGGAACTCGGTGTTTTCTTCGTGCTTGAAGGATGAGATGGACCCAAACACAACGTTTTTCTCCCTCTTGTCCACAAATAAATCTAGGAGCAGAGCTACTGCAAGGGATTTTCAGTGCTGGAAATCCATTTATATCCTACAACTTCCTTGCTGTCATGCAGCGTGCAGTTCATGGTTGCTTAGCAACGTCAGATACCATAGCTCCTGAGCACTTTGGAAAAAAGGAGAAAGCTGCGTGGCTGGAGTTTTCCACACGTTTTTAGACATGATAAGTGAACGGTCCCTATGGCATCAATTTGTTTTGAGTCTCATTAAACCTTCTAGCAACTGAAAAGAAATTAGGTACAGTAGCTTTAAACACTTAAGCTTTTTATTTATTGTTAAAATATTTTAGTCTCGTCCAAAGTGGAACCACCAACATTGTCATGGCTACATAAATTTGTTCCAAATTATCTACATATTTGGTGATATTTATCATTGCAGCACAACACAGTCAGGCACTGATAAGTGGCACAACTTCAGCAAATTGTCTGAATTCATTCTCCATCAGCTTTGTTCTTATGACTGCTCAGACCCGAGGAGACTGAGTAAACGCTAATGGACGGCAGAGCTCTTAAGACAGCAATAAAATACATTAGAGCTTTGGGAGAGGACAAATGAGAGCAGTGAAACCCAGCCAGGCACTTCTTGTTCAGCTTTACATTAGCACCACAGCAGTAACAGAGCAGTACAACCACTCTCTCACTTAGTTAATGGGCTTTAAGAAAATAACAATATGGGCCGAGCAGACGTATAATTCAGCCTTTTTGTAAGTGGGTGCTGAGTGTTGAGTGGTGGAGTGGAGTAGAAACTCCTGAGAAAGGGTGAGCCACTGCTGTTGCTCCTTATCTCAGCATAAGCTGTAACCACCTCAGCATTCCCAACTATAGCCAGTGTCAGAGGACTCCATGGTGTGTAACAGGCTGATATGAGAGTGTCATCTAAAGGGCAACATGACACATTTTAAAATCACTCTGATCACTAATTAAACCTGTATAAATTCCAAATGATTATAACATGTACTAAACCTGTCTCAAGGCAATTTATAACCTTTGACTTGAACAGGTGAAATACATTTTTTAATGTTTTCTACTTTTCAACTTGAAAAACATTATTTCCAGGTATGTGGTGAAAAAGCTTAGATGCATGAAAAACCAGAGATATTATCACAGTGCCAGGCTCTGACACGAGCGCTGGAGAGGTGGGAGACATGCAGCGTTTGTGTAATCAAAGTGTGATTTCCAATTCCTCTTGAGCAGAAAATGAAACATTTGAAAGGCCATCTCTGAAAACTGATGGAGCTGGAAGTCATTTCAGAGTTTGGATGTTTGGCACACATTAGTAACTAAAGCACGCTGTTGTTTGGTGCAACTGAAATATTGCATTTTCAAGGTTATACTTTGATGTAATTCTTGTAAACAAATGATACAGATGTCAACAAGACTGTGGCCTGTATTTCAAGCTATGGCATCATGAGTGCAAGAGATGTTTTGTGTTCTTATGTAAAGGCTTTTTCTTCTGAGCTAGTGACCAGAATGAATGTTGGAAATAGTCTTTCTAACTTCTGGCAAAACAATCCCAGAACAAGGTCCACTTACTAGCTATTCTGGAGCTTTCAGTCATATCACATGCTCTTCCTCAGCAGATTTACCCATGGCGTTGCAGATGCTCAAACTTAAACTTATCTCACCACTTTAATACGCTCCTTAAGTCCATGTAAACCCTTAAAATACACTGTCACACCCATCGGATGCTGATGATTCAGATGTTACTTAAGGGCTCTACAATCCCATGATAACTGGGCAGCTCTGTCTGCTGAATGTGTTATATGTGGTAACCAAAATGCTGCACTATGTCACAAGGTCGCAAACTCTTGTCTCCACGGGGTAAGAACCAATTTACAGTCCAAGAGGTGTTAATTTTAGATGTGTTTTTTTTCAAACAGTGAGAAGCACAGCATCCTGTACCTAAAGAAGCTAATTTAACGGCATTCTAAGTTAAGTTTCCTTTTTAAGCCGTTACATTTTTATGTTTTATTGATTTGTTCTACTTTAGCCTTACAGGAATATGGCTACATATTGTTGAACAAAAATCTATTGTATATGTTCTTTCTGACTTTATCTGAAATACTCAATATAAAGTGAAAGTGGATACAACTAGGCAGGATGATTCTCCTCTCCCTTGCTTTCCTTCACACCGGTCCAGACACTATAATTGATCACCACATCCCACAGGGGACAATTGAGCATTATAGTTGGCAGCTGGATAAAGTTTATCATCTGACCAAGGCACATATCCTCCAAAGAGATCACAAAGCAATCAGGGACCATTACCTCAATGGAGAAGACAACACAGGTGGCACACACAGCCATGAAAACAACAGAAAATAAAGGCTGAGTTCAGCAGCAGCAGTGAAAGACAGACACCTACCCTGGCTGTCTCTCAGATGCAGAGCGATCTTCGTATCATCTGAGACAAAGAGAAAGAAGGCGTCAGACGTAATAATCAGTATTTCTCTTTGTAGTTTGTTTTTGAAACTCTGACACTTGAAACAACTCCCTGAAGGTCCCAAATGCGATTAAGCTACTTTAGTGCCCCATGTTCCACATGGAATTTACTCCACTTAAAGACTGATTAAAAATCATTTCCTTGAATATAATGGTTCAGCATGCATAATTCAACACATAAAAGCAGTCTGGGGTTAACTATACATGTGAAATATGGAAATGTGGCGTGACCCACTTCTTAGTGAAGGGTAGCAGCCATTTACACACACCATAGGATTCACATTATGCTAATTTAACACATACCCCAGCAGATACATTTCCCCGAATGACTTAATTCAAAAGAATTTTCTATTTCAATTTTCAAAAGACCAAATGCAGCCACATTCTGGGGTCTGAAATGAATCATTACATGAATTACACTACTGTAGCAGACAGCACAAAATTTTGTCTGAGTTGATTCCAGACCAGAGTGAGAGTCATGAATACGGATCATCATTGCTGCTTAAGGAAAGGAAGTCGGTTGTAACTGATAACAGTTTATTTGGATTTATTATGGAAGGTACAGAAATGACCTAGCACAGCCTGTTTAAATCATTTACAGAATGGGGACATTTATAATACTTTTACATATAGAGTGCCGTAGAGATGACTTTTTTTGATAGGTCAAACCGGAAGTTAGTATCACCCTGGTTCCCTCGCAAAAAACTAATGAGAATTTTCCATAGGGTTTTAGATTAATATGGAAAACAAACTCTGTGCAGCAAGATAATCTTCACAAGTGAACAGCACTTTTATGATTTTTGAAGTCAGAAGTAAAAAAGCTATTGTTAGGCTAAACGAACTACACCATGGTCCCATGGCTTCAGTGACTCCACCATGGTTTCCAACTTGTAATTTGAATTAAAGTGCAATTACCTCTTCTCCAAAATCCTTTCCTCTTGGCGTGATCTGATCTAACTATTGCTCATGACTGTGTCAGTTAAATAGTTTGCAAGGGTGCAACTTTAAAAATAATGAGAATAAGTGAAATGAGCTGAAAATAGGTTCAGTGAATCCAGCTAATCCAGCTAATCCATTTACTCTCTCTATTCTTACAGACTGAACAAAAAAAATGGAAGTAAAGAAAACTATAGAGGACACCTTGGTTGTTTTCCTGTCATCAGCAAAAGAATCCCATCTGCTCCTTTTCAAAGAGGATTTGTGTTAGATAACTCTGCAGTGTGGTTGGGGTTAGTCTCACGCTGGAGCGCACTGACTCATGGGCTCAGTACTTTACAATGAAATATTGCTGGCCGATGCTGTTTCTACACAACTAGAGATCCAGATAATTTAATATTTATTCTGTCAGTACATGTCTACTCTAGGTGCCATGTATGAAACTTATTTTGACTGTTTCAATATTTAGGACCTTTGCTTATTTTTCCACAAGACGATAACAGTGAAATAGCCACCGTCTACAATCCTTCCTCAGTCTTAGGTACAGCGTGTTGTATTTTTAACTTATACAGTACTTTATGTGTTTTAATGTGTTCATAGTGTTTATGTTTTATAATAAATATGCTGTGTTGAATGTTGCCATCTGTTCTGTGCTATGAGCTCATCAAGACAAGCTCCTAACAACATCTGTTCTAAAGGCATTAACATTTGCTCAAGTCAATAATACATTACTCTCTCAATTTCTTTCCAACTGTCCAACTCTGTCTGTGGCCCGTTCACTCATGATAAATACCTAAATCTTTCATTTTCATTTGAACAAAAGCTAAGTTATGCTCTAAACAGTACTGCATGTGCTGGGGACTGTCTTTGAAACACATTTGGTGCACATGTTATGGTTTGTGGACTTGCTTCCTGTTTGGTGCTTTTGTTTTGGTTAGTTTCCTGTCCTGTGTTACCTCACCTGCCCAAGCTTTACCCCAGTTCATAATTTCTGTTCATTGCTTCCACCTGCTGCTCGTTACCTCCTGGTCTCCTGTCTTTATATCCTCCTCCCTTCCCTCAGTCCTGTTGCTGACTCATCTGTTCTTCATACCTCGTTACCCCGTCATCAGTCTCTCTGCGTACCACACCCTGCCTGTCTGCTTTGCAAATTTTTGTATCAGTTGCCTTGGTTACATTTGGACTGTTCTTTTGAGTTATTCCTGTCAGCAAGATTCTCGGTTAGTTCTCCAGGTTCGTTTAAGTTGTTTAAAGTTTTTCATGTAGCTCCCTTCTGTTTAGATATTAGTTTTATACCTGTATTGTGACATTCTGTCAGGTTGAGCATCTGTTTACCCCTTTGTTCCTCTTCATTTATATTAAACTGAATAAACACTAGACTCTAGACCGTGTCTGCATTTTGGCTCTTTCCTTGCATGAAACTTAACAGCACATACAGTAGTTAGTTGGGTATATGGCATTGACTCTATGTAAACTCCAGCACCCATGTTCATCTGATTAATGAAGGAACATATCAGCTATTGCAACAGTAGCCAGGTTTCCATCCAAATGTAGCACATTTTAACCACACTTTTAGTAAAAAAAAAAAAGAAGCAAATATTGTGCTTTCCATTCATATCAGGAATTGTTTCATTGAGATAAGCAGTGGGCACCACTAAGTCTACTGTTGGATGATAGTAAGCTGCTGTAGAAGAGGAAGCTCATCAGTCATACTTCAAACTATGGGGGAAAAAAAATAAATATATAACAGGATGGAAACATGACCGTTACATTTTGTTTTTATCAATACACCAAATTTTCCACCTAACCAAGTGTAAAAATTTACAAACTTAGAAAAGGGAGTTTACAGAAATAAAAGCTATCTGAAAAATAAAGGCAGATTTTGGCCCAGCAAGATTGAACAAAATGATCACAGGTTTGCGTGGGTGTATCAATTTTGGACTGGGGAGACTTGTCCCAATTCAATCTGCATTGTTTGGTACAAGCATAGCTGCTGTACTTGCTCCACTGCTTGAAATATATTTTTTGTTTAAGTAGAGAGTTACAGAGCATTCTAAAGAGAGCAGTGTCTCGTGCAGGTTGTAAAAGAGGAACAGACGTCCATCGCTAGTTTGAAAGAAAGACCTGGACTCCTATACGACATGCACAATGGCCTTGTTCCAGCTCTATTTTCTACTTTACCTTCAGTGGGGACGCTAGTGGGAGGGTTGGAGGTGGAGGGGGTGTCTCTGCCTGTGTTGTTCTCTTTGCTCCTGGATGTAGTTTTGGCGACAGTTGTGGTGGTGACGGGGTAGAGGTACGTAGTGTCAGTGATGTCACACATTTTGTCCTTGGTCTAAAACATGAGAAATGTTGTCATGACTGTGTGAACTTTGTCAGAAACAAGGTAATGTGTGAGGGAAGATATAAGAGGGATCTTCTTGTATGTTGCAGAACAAGGCATTCATCATCTGGTGCAACCTCTTTCACCATCAAGAGACTGAAATGATGGTTGGTCGTGATTCATCTTTGTGAACACTCACCTCATCTGGGCAGCTGTTGTCCACCCAATCCTGCCGATGGCGGTCAAAGCCACTGGAACATCTGAGGGCAGAGGAAACAGTCATTCAAAAGCTGCATCTTTAGTCTAATTATATATATAGGTATTAAAAGTTAAACTTTTGATGAGAAGTTATTACAGTTCATCCTGAGGGGAACATCAAATTTCATTACAATCCATTTATCCATAGTTGCCGAGAGATTCACTCAATATCAAACTCATGGTGGCGCTATAGGACCAAAGTGAGAGAACTGTGAATATCTGTACAAAATTATTTTCAGCACTGGCTACAAGTATTTATTTTATTTTTTTTTCCTCAGTGAAGCCACAGAAAACACAGACATGCCTGTCACAGTTAATTGGAGCCTATGGTGACAATGAGTTCTAACAAAAACTCAATTTTATCATTTTAAAAACACTGCAAGATTCAGAGGTTTTAGGTCCAGAGATGATGCAGAGAAACTCTGCTTTCATTGCCCGTAGACTGAACTATTGCAGCTGTCTTTTAACCGGTCATAAGACTATCAAGCAGCAGAACAATGCTGCTAGTTTTCATTAGAACTTAGAGACCCCTGTCCTGAAATCACTGCACTGGCTGCCAGTGTTAACATTAGTTTATAAATCTCTTATTAGTCTGGCATGAAAATATATCTGACGTCCTTAAAATACACCAACCAAGTCCTTAGATCTGCTGAAAATTCTCAGCTGAACAGGGAGAAGCAGTGTTCAGCTATTACACTGCAACAGGTGGAACAAACCCTCCATGGAACACATTTAAGGCTAAACTCAAAACACTGCTGTTCTCTCGTGCTTTTGAGTAAATCTAGCCACCTCTTTATTGTTTTGCTTGTCTTTTAAATTTGTATTTTATATTATAGTTTTACGTTTATATGATTTATGTGATTATCTGATGCTGTTTCACTACGTAAAGCACTTTATGTACAACAGGTGCTCTATAAAGAAATTGACATTGATAATGACGTGGACAATTTGAAATGTCTTTTGTCTGACCACAGTTTAAAACCTAAATATATTTAAACCTACTCTACACATTGTCTGATAAATCAAACATCTGCTCCTCCCACTCCTGCCTTCCTCTGAAGTCTGGATTTAAGGAGTGTTAGGAGGGAGCAGCTTTGCACAGGATGAAGATGTGGGATCACTGAGGAAGAAGTTCAGTGGGTCATGGGGCCTTGGGATGATGGTGCTTTTTTGATCAGAATCCAATAACCTCTAAGAAACTTCTTCTCATCTGTGCTGTAAACAGAGCGGAATAACTTGCCCATTGGTGAACTTGCTGTCATTCTACTGTAAGGAAAAGTTAATATGCAAGGCAGGAAACTCACTCGCTCTGTGTTCAATCAAATGAAGTGAAGTTGAAAAGCTGCAGGCGGTCTGTAAATTATTTGTCACTGCACAGGGGAGATCTATAGGAACATGTACACAAATAAAACCATCCATAACTGACTCAAAATGCAGAAGTGCAGTGGTTTAATGATATCTGTGCTCTGCACTGCAAGAACAAAAGAAGTCCAGTACAGTCCAAGACAATCCCAGCAGGCCCCATTTGTCTACCGAATATATTGTCATGGTAATGAATTTATGTGAAAGAGTTCATTTTCATCTCCCCACTCATCTTTTATTCCCTCTCACCCCCCACCCCCCCCACAAAA